AGGAAAGGGGGGTTGGAAGGTGGGGGAGGGTGTGGAGGGGGTTAGAGAGAGTTGAGGAAATTGAAGGTCCTCCGCGGCTTCTTCTCTGCCAATGGCTGGATAGCGCCCTCTGCTGCATGGGGATCAACAGAAAGGAGCGACGTAGGGAGGTGCGAGGGTTGAGAGGTACGGAGGCTGTGATCAGAGGTGCTGGACAAATCCGTCTGGTACAGCACTGCTGGAGCATGTTCCTCTGCCACGGTCTGGACAAGGCCGTCTGGCACCTAGGAAAAACGGAAGTGGTGGGAGCAGCAGCAAATGATGGGAGAAGGTGGGAAATGGTTACAAGTGGAGCTGTGAGCAGCTACTGGCCCTCAGGATCTGCATACGGATTCGTTTTCGGCCATGGGCTGGTTGGCGCCCTCGGTCCGTCCCCGGGGAACACCAGCATGGGCGGCACATGATGCGGTGCGATAAAGTGGCAAGCTGTAGAGATGCTGCTGCCTGTGCTGAGTGGTGAGTGGTACTGTGAGCCGTGGCTTCTCTGTCACGAGATGGATATATGGTGCCGTCAACCTTCTCAAGGGGTTTTTGGCAAGATAAGAGGCCTTTGGGCAACTGTGGCGGCTGCTACTCTGCCTGCCACTGCCTCTCCTGCCTCCTGGGAGATACCAGAATCAACAGCAAGTGACGAGCGGTGGGGCGAGAGTCGAGGCCACAGAGGGGAAAATGAGGAAGGGAAGGCACTATGCTGTGTTGGTCAGCAACCAACTGGATTTAAAAAGAACTCGTGGGCGCGCACATAGTGACTTTGATTTGTGAAACGAGAGAAAGCCAGGCTGGTAAATGATAGCTCGTCTCTCACTCATTGAGTGCAGCTCTATCTATCTTGTGATCGCAAGCTGTGTGTGTGCAACTCACGAGCTTCTCATAGGTGGCGCGGATGACGGCCTCCAGGTCCTCAAACGACGCCAGTACATAGTGACACTAATTTGATAAACCAGAGAGAGCCAGGCTGGCACTGAGGGCAGCTGTATGTAACTTGCGTCTAAGCTGTGCGTGAGAGAGACTCACGAGCTTCTCATAGGTGGCGCGGATGACGGTCTCCAGGTCCTCAAACGACGTCGGCACGATGGCGCCTGCTGCCTTCAGCGCCGCGTTCTTCGCCTGCGCTGACTCGCTCTCCCCTCCGCTCTTGGCGCCCTGGGGGAACAATCGTGGAGGGGGGGCATCAGGGTTACAGAGGTGAGCTGCCACGTGCCTCTCAACCCAACAGAACGGCTCCTCCTGCTGCCTTCCTTCGCCTGCACTGATTCGCTCATGACGCCCTGGATGAACAATTGGTGGGGGGATCAGGGTTTCTGAGTCAACACATGGTGACACGCCTTTCTTTGCACAGTGGCCCCCACTCTTCGGGTGCCACAACTAATGCCCACACTGCGTAGCTCTCACCTCCACCCTTGGCACCTCCAGAGGACAACAAGGGAAGGATGAAATGTACCGTGTGGGTTGTGAGTCAAAGGCGTTGCGTTGTGTTGGGGTGGGGTGCAGTGTGGTGTGGTGGCTTACAGCGTGGCCGAACTGCACTTCGGACTTGAAGAGAGTGGCGCAGGTGCCGCTGACCCACGCCACCACGGGCTTGTTGACGCGCCCCTCCTTCAACGCATCCACCAGTGAGTACTCGTCCGCCCCGCCCAGCTCGCCCAGCACCACTATCATGCGGATCTGATCAAACAAGGGAGGGTGGAGGGGAAGGAGAAGGGGTGAGAGGGTGGAGGGTGGGCAGAGCACATGTTTGAACCTTTCCAACTTCAGCGCGGTGAATACTCGTCCGCTCCGCTCAGCTCGCCCAACACCAATATCATGCGGATCTGACACAGAGGAGGGGTTGCGTGCGTGGGGGGTGGAGGAGGGGGATGAGCATGCAGAAGCAATCATGCCACCGCATGACTCTCCTGGCTGGCCCAAACTGACTAGAGAATGATGAAACACACACACACAGACAGAAACGTGCAGCTGGTGCTGACCACAACTCTCATACCTGCGGGATGTTGTTAAATCTCAGGACATGGTCTGAGAGCGTGGAGCCAGGGAAGCCATCACCACCAATGGCGATACCTGGATGGGAGATGCGGGGACACAGCAGTGCAGCAAGTGAGCATCGCAACTGTTCTTGAGACGTCTCAACTCAACAATGACGTGGGCGATTACCACTACTGATGAACAAACGGGACAAGAGGGAAGCGTTCGCTGCGGGACGAACATTGCCAACACTCGAGATAAACACCTGAAAACGGTTGTCATGACCTGGGTCACGACTGACAGGCAATCTTGAATGACTTCTAAATCATCCAGTCCACCCGTTTCCTCCCTCACCTTCGTAGAGCCCATCCGTGGTGCGCGCCAGCACGTTGTACATCTCGTTCGACATGCCTCCCTGCAGCCACGGCACGGCAACCAGAAACACAACAAACAGATTGAAACAAGAAAAGGAGAAATGAGAAATGAGAAAAGGAGAAATGAGAAATGAGAAAAAGGATGCACATGGCAGAATCAGCAACGACATGGAAGAAATGACCGGGGACCCACATCCACGAAATCGAAGCGGCCTTGCAGGCACTGCAAGGCGTGTGTGTGTCTCACCGACTTGGAGACGAAGCCGACGGAGCCAGGGCGGTAGAGCTTGCAGCTGATGATGTTGTCCAGCGTGCCCGCTGTGTCGCCGATCTTGAACGCCCCCGCCTGGATGCCGCCCACCGTTGCTGGGCCAATAATCACCTGTTGCCCCCAAGCACCACGGCCCACAGCACAGCGGATGTCAGTCAGCTGACTACTTGGTAACTCTGGGGAGAAACAGTCAGGAAGATTTGACGGTTTTGCCACAATGGGGCTGAGGATTGTGAACGGGGACGTGAAACGGGTGAGCGATGAGATGAGATGAGGTATGCTGGGATGTGGATGGACAGGTGGTGCTGGTGCGGGTACCTTGTTGTTGGCGCGCGCGTAGGCGATGAGCGTTTTCGCGTCAGCCTCTGGCACGCCCTCGGCGATGATGGCCACCACTCGGATGGTGGGCTGCTTCAACGCCTCGAACGACGACTCGAACGCACTGTAGGGAGGGATGGGAGGGGAGGGTCAAGCGCACGGGATGTGAAGACAACGAACGACGACTCTGCGATGATGGCCACCACGTGGATGGTGGGCTGCTTCAACGCCTCGAACGACGACTCGAACGCACTGCCGCGAGGGATGGGAGGGTCAAGTGCACGGGATGTGAAGGCAGAATGGTACCAATAACGCGTAACCATGTACGGCAGTGCGTCGTTGAGCTGTGAGTTGTGTGCAACATGCGCAGTGCCGAGTGGTAACACCATCATTTATTCCCGCAAGCCACACCTTCGGAACGAGGCGAAGTTGACGAAGACGTCAGCCGTTGGATGCGCCTTGCAGGCGGCCGTGATGCTGTATCGAGAACAAACACAGGGGCGGAACAAAAGCATTCGAAGGAGATGAGATGAGGATGGCTGCATAAATGGCAGTCGTCGTGTTGTGATCCGGATTAGGCTCAGCATGGCGTGCATACAAACGAGCGATGCTGACTGCGACGCAGGAGCGGATTCAATCTTTATTTGTGAAATGATACTCACCTGGGGTGGACCGGAAGCGCGATCTCCTCTTGGCCGAAGAAGAGCTTGTGAAAGCCATCAGATCCCGGTGTGACGATGCCGGCAACAGAGGGTAGATTTCGGCCTGGGCAAGAGCGGAAGAGAGAAGGAACAGACGCGTGAATTCGGTGTCGAAGTAATCTAGCCAGCAAGAGTTGAGTGTGGAGCATCCGCTTTAGCTGGAAGGCAGACTGCATACGCGCTACTACAACCCTTAAATGACAAGCGGAACTCAGAAAACCACATCCGCCGCTGGCGCTAGGCACGTTTCGCACCGCATAAGAAGTCGAAATCCAGCATCCGTTGGACCGGGTTCTGCTTATAGTTGTAGAACAGAGCCTGGGTGTTCTTCGAAAACAGTTGGCCGGTCGACATTTTGGCTCCACGCTACTATGCAAGACCAGAGGAGATTAAGTTTAGTCCACTTCCTGGTAAACTAACCAGTCAGTAACAAAGGCGATCAGACTTTGAGAGCAAGCCCCTGATTGATGGGAAAGCCTTGCTCGCAGAATTTCAAATGTGACGGAGATCTCAAGGCAGGCGGATTATACAGCACAGCCGTTTCCCTGGTTTTGGTTTGGTGGGTGCCTCTCTGTAACCGTGGCTGGTGCGAGCCCTGGGAGCGGTGTGGGTGTGGGTGGGAGATTCAAGTGATGTCTGGCGCGGGTGGGCCTCTGATCTGAGTCAGCCGTGCCTGGGAGGGTGGGACCACACGGGGAAATGTCCACTGATAAAGCCCCCCCACACTCGGCCACGTGGAGCTGAAAATTGACAGCCTCGAGAAAATCGGCGTAGAGCTGGGTTGGTGGGTCATCGGGTTTCTCAATTCGGGCCCAACACCACCAATACATCTGGTGCTCTACATGGAATATGTTGCTACGCAGTATGTAGTAATCATCAGTTTAGTTGCTGTGAAGGAAAAGGTGCTCTGGGGAGGGATTACTGACCGCTTGAGAGAGTACGATGGAAAAAACAAATACGTTATAATTTTTATCTATCATAAATATGTTTATACAGGATATATAGCTGGCAAATTCTTTCAAAATTACCCACCATATCTCTATTCATTATGTTTTAATAATCGATTATTTCATCTTGCAGCAATGTTCTTCTATTCAGTGGAGCACATTCAAGGGTTCCAATGATTTTCATCACAGTCATTCTTTTTGCAAAACTTGGTGAGCTTATTCATATCCCATCCGTGAGATTGCGGAGCTGCAACTAACGAAACACCTTGCTCGATCCTCACACTCCCCCACCATGGCACCCACTCATTCTGCCGCTTTTTCCTCCCAGCACCTCAGGTAAAGGCGGTCCGCGATCTAGGGGCCAGCACGTAGTTACGAGCGTTCAGCAATGGACGCCTCACAAGTGGTCGAGGCCGTTTCCATTCTCTACACCGACCCCTCCCCCGATCGCAAGTCCCAGGCCAACGCATGGCTCACCTCCTTCGCCGCAACCCCCGCCGCATGGGGCGTCGCCGCGAGTCTCGTCGAGTCAGCGCAGTCAATGGAAGTCCGTTACTTCTGCGCCAATCTCCTGCTTTCGAAAGCGCGCTCCGATCTCTCTGCTCTCCCCCCAGACTCGCGCGCGGAGCTCGGCGCGCATCTGCTGCGCCTCGTCGCGTCCTACATGACCAATAGCAGCGTGCCACCTGTCGTCCTCTCCCGAGTCTGCCTCGTCGTGGCGGCGGTCGCGCTGCGGTCGGCCAATCAGCACGCGCTGAATGCCATTATGCTATTGGACGTCGTGCTGCGCGCCGCTGACGTGGCAGAGAAGAGCGAGGGGGGATCTGGCGCGCAAGGGCTGGGGGGCGGGGGTGGCGGCGGGGGAGGCGGCGGAGGGGGGAGCGCAAGCGACCAGGCGCTGGCGGTGGTGGTGGCGGTGCTGCAGGGGGTGGCGGAAGAGGCGGAGCAGCTGGACAGGCGCAACACAGAGATCACCCTCGCGCTCATCCGGGTACGCGCGCACTAGCGGAGGCATTCTCCCCTCACAGCGGCTGTAGGAGGGGTGGGCAGGCCGCAGGGGAGTAGAGGGAAGGAGAGGGGAGGGGAGGCTGCAATAGGAGTGCATGCGTTGACTGGCGTTGACCAGCGTCGACCAGCATTTGACTGTCGTTGGTCATGAAGTTGATTTCTCCTATGGGTGGCCTGGCTGGCTGTTGTGCATCGCACGCCTGCTGCTGCTTTCGGGGCGCTTCTAAAGCAGACTCAAACCCACCTCCCTCCCCATTCTGCCACATTCCTTTCCCAACAACAACAACCATCCCACCCCCATACCCTCCCATCCCCAACGCCTGCATCCGTCATGTCTCTGCTTGCCTCGGACCCATGCCCCCTCCATCCCTCCCTCCGGCCGTCCGTCCGTCCGTCCCTGCCTTCATCCCTCCACCCCTCCATCCCTCCGTCCTCCATCCCCCTCATGCCTGGAGACCCGCTTCCTAGACCTCCTGCAGATCATGCAAACGTACACGCAGCGCCTCTGCCCCTCCCTCCCTCCTCATTGCCTACATCATTGACTTCTCTCCTTGCCTTTGCCCCCTGGCCCCCTCCCTCCCTCCATCCTCCCCATGCCTCCAGACCCGCTTCCCAGACCTCCTGCAGATCATCCAGACATACACGCAGCGCCACAGCGCTTCCCTCTCCTCCCCCTCCTTCCCCGCCCACCCCCCACCCATGCTCTCCGCCTTCCTCCGCCTGCTCCTCACCTGGCTGCACCTCGACTTCGCCTCCGTGGCCCAGCACCCAATCACAGCGTGCCAGCTCAGCACCGCCTTCCCATTCCTCTGGCACTTTGTTCTCCGCTCGCTCGCATCGCCCCACCCGCCTGTCGCCGCCACCAGTGCCGATATTTTGGTGGCGCTTGTCAGCCAATCAGAGGCCCAAGGTGGGTGGGTTCATTTCTTGTCAATCAAATCAACCACAACCAAGGTGGGTCACTTCCTGATGCGCTGCGCCTCACAAGTTGCTCGCTCGCATTCCCCATTCCCCCACCCACCTATCACTGCCACCAGCGCCAATTATTCTGGTGGCTCTTGTCATGTCAGCCAATCAGAGCCGCAAGGTAAGTCAGTTTCACATGTCATATGTGGCAATTCGCAGTATTGAACATCACATCACATGTCACATGCGAGAAACCTCTAAATTATACTCACCTCCTCCCTGCCTCCCCCTCCCCCCAGCACCAGACGCGCCAACACCAGTCATCCTGCCCGTTCAATGGCTCTCCTTCACGCCTGGGATGTGGCCCAGGCACATTCACAATCACAGGCGCACTTATAGTCACGCTCAGGCGCAGGCACACGCGCATGGACTCACGAGGTCAGGCGGGCAGTGCAGTGCAGAGGCGGCTGAGAAGCCTCAGCCGCCTCTGGCAAAGGAGCAACCAGACATTCCTCACATGCCTCCCCTCCCCCTATCCCCCCCACAGCACCAGATGCTTCAGCGCCAGTCGTATCCTCCGTTCTAAAGGCCCTGTTAGACGCCTGGGACGTGGGCCCCCACGGCCCACCCAGAGCACCCTTCATCCCTCCCTCCACTCCCCCCACTCCCTCCTTCCTCCCCCTTCCCCTCCCCAGCACCAGACGCATCAGCACCAGTCATATCGTCCGTTCTAAAGGCCCTGTTAGACGCCTGGGACGTGGCTTAGGCAAACTCGGGCACATGGTCACATGAAGTGAGGCGGGTGGTGCAGAGGGGACTGAGCGCCGTGGCAGTGGCCGTAGCAGAGGAGCACCCAGAGGCGCTCACATGCCTCCCCTCCCCTCCCTTCCCCCCTCCCCCCGTTCCCCCCCCAGCACCAGATGCATCAACACCTGTAATATCCTCCGTGCTCAAGGCTCTTCTCGACGCGTGGGACGTAGCACAGGCACAGTCAGGCCAATGGTCTCACGAGGCCAGGCGGGCAGTGCAGAGGGGGCTGAGCGCCGGGGCAGTGGCCGTGGCGGAGGAGCACCCAGAGGCGCTCACAGACCCGCGTGCCCCCGAGGCCTCATCCCTTCCTCCCTTCCTTCCCCTCCGTCCCCGCAGCTCCAGATGCATCAGCACCCGTAATATCCTCTGTGCTCAAGGCCCTCCTAGACGCCTGGGACGTGGCCCAGGCACAGGCAGGCACATGGTCCCACGAGGCGAGGCGCGCGGTGCAGAGGGGACTGAGCGCCGTGGCAGTGGCTGTAGCAGAGGAGCACCCAGAGGCGCTCACGGACCCCCGTGCGCCCGAGGCTTCATCCCTCCCTTCACTTCCCCCACTCCCTCCCTCCCTCCTCCCCCCTCCCCCCAGCAGCAGACGCGTCAGCGCCAGTCATCTCGTCCGTGCTGAAAGCCCTGCTAGACGCATGGGACGTGGCGCAGGCACACTCAGGCACGTGGTCACACGAGGCGAAGAGAGCAGTGCAGCGAGGACTGAGCGCCGTGGCAGTGGCGGTGGCAGAGGAGCACCCAGAGGCGCTCACGGACCCGCGTGCGCCCGAGGGCGTGGCTGTGGGGGAGGTCGTGCTGGCGTGCGCTGCAGGGGGCGGGGGGGCGTGGGGGGGAGGGGAGGGCGGGGAGGGGGAGAGCGCGGAGGAGGTGGAGGCGAGTGCTGATGGCGTGGTGGAGTTCTTTTCAGCGGTGAATATTGTGCCGGTGAATGAGAGGAGCGAGGGGTACCGGGGAGCGCTGTTTCTACGGCTGGCCGAAGTGTTGACCACCAAGGTGAGCCATGGTGATGGCGTGGGTGGGAGAGAGTGCAGGAGGGGAGGGGAGCGGAGGAGGTGGAGTGGAGGCGAGTGCAGGTGCCGAGGCGAAGTGCTTTTTGCTGTCAAAACGGCGCCGGTGAATGAGAGTCTTTGAGTGGCTTGCGGTTGAGTCAACTCAGGAGACACCTCTTACACTCCCTCCTTTGTTTCCTTCCCTCTGTCCCCCATCTGCAGGCAGCCTATCGCCCATCATTCACATCGTGTCATAGAGTGCCTAGATCAGCTTAAATTAAAGCAGTACCCCTTTGCTCTCTTCCTCTCTGCCCTCCCTCTCTCCCTTCCCCTCCTCTCCCCCACCTGCAGGCAGCCTATCCGCCATCATTCACATCGTGGGCTGACAACCAGGAAGATGCTGACGCATTCTACCGCTTCAGGGATCAGGTGATTGCAACAGAGGCCAGGTGATTGCAACAGAGACCAGGTGATTGCAACAGGGACCAGGTGATTCCAACAGAGGCTAGGTGGTTGCAGCAGAGAGCTGGGAATTGCAGCAAAGACCAGGTGATTGCAACAGAGGTGATACCAATACGAAAAGGAATGAGGTGATATGCTTGCAGGACAGGTGATTGCAATCATTTTTCCCTCTTGACTTGTGTCGACAAACTGGTTACTCTTTGGTTACGTGTGGTCATCTCATTTCATGCGATGACTTGTGAGTCACCTGGTTGCTATTTGAACCTATCCAATGCCATCACATGAGCCGCTGCACAAACACTTTCATTTCTCAAGTTGTTTTGATTTCACCTGGCATACCACCTGGTCTCTGTTGTTTTCACCTGGCAGCTAGCAGCGGACGGGCTGCACATGGCGTTTGGGCTGCTGCCAGTGGAATACATGGATCGTGTGGGGGCGTCCCTGCAGGTGCGTGTGGGCACCAAGGGACCCTGACCCCGATACCCTGACTTGAGACAGGGGTAGGCGTGATGGCATTGCATCAACCCGTTTGGGCTCCTGCCAGTGGAGTATATGGACCGCGTGGGGTCCTCCCTGCAGGTGCGAGCAAGGCCAAGGGGACTTATTGATGTCGTGACAGGGGTAACCTGGATGGCATTGCATTACCCAGTTTGGGCTGCACATGGCGTTTGGGCTGCTGCCAGTGGAATACATGGACCGCGTGGGGTCCTCCCTGCAGGTGCGAGCGAGTGAGACCACGGGACATGATTTCAATGATGTCGTGACTTGAGACAGGGGTAACGAACAATGATGGCAAACTGTGTTCACCACTGTGGGCTGCTGCCAGTGGAGTATATGGACCGCGTGGGGTCCTCCCTGCAGGTGCGAACCAGACCAAGGGACTGGTTGATGTGATGAGTCGAGACAGGGGTGACCTGGATGGCATTGCACTAACCAGTTTGGGCTGCTGCCAGTGGAATACATGGACCGCGTGGGGCCCTCCCTGCAGGTGGGGCCAAGAACCCAGGGACTTTGATGCCTGACATGTGCTTGAAGCGACCACACTGTGTGTGTCACCCCATGCCATCCCATGCCACACCATGCCACCACACCATGCTACCCAAGGCCACGACATGCTATGCCATTACAACCCATCTCGTACCCATCCCATGCGTCACCATCCATGCAACCCCATGCATGCATGCATCACAACAGAGTGCGGGCACATGGCAGGCAGCAGAGGCGTCGCTCTTTGAAAGCTTTTCATGCCGTTATGTGATTCTTCCCATACACCATTCCATCCCATACACCATTCCATCCCATACACCATTCCATCCCATACACCATTCCATCCCATACACCATTCCATCCCATACACCATTCCATCCCATACACCATTCCATCCCATACACCATTCCATCCCATACACCATTCCATCCCCATACACCATTCCATCCCAATACACCATTCCATCCCATACACCATTCCATCCATACACCATTCCATCCCATACACCATTCCATCCCATACACCATTCCATCCATACACCATTCCATCCCATACACCATTCCATCCCATACACCATTCCATCCATACACCATTCCATCCCATACACCATTCCATCCCATACACCATTCCATCCCATACACCATTCCATCCCATACACCATTCCATCCCATACACCATTCCATCCCATACACCATTCCATCCCATACACCATTCCATCCCATACACCATTCCATCCCATACACCATTCCATCCCATACACCATTCCATCCCATACACCATTCCATCCCATACACCATTCCATCCCATACACCATTCCATCCCATACACCATTCCATCCCATACACCATTCCATCCCATACACCATTCCATCCCATACACCATTCCATCCCATACACCATTCCATCCCATACACCATTCCATCCCATACACCATTCCATCCCATACACCATTCCATCCCATACACCATTCCATCCCATACACCATTCCATCCCATACACCATTCCATCCCATACACCATTCCATCCCATACACCATTCCATCCCATACACCATTCCATCCCATACACCATTCCATCCCATACACCATTCCATCCCATACACCATTCCATCCCATACACCATTCCATCCCATACACCATTCCATCCCATACACCATTCCATCCCATACACCATTCCATCCCATACACCATTCCATCCCATACACCATTCCATCCCATACACCATTCCATCCCATACACCATTCCATCCCATACACCATTCCATCCCATACACCATTCCATCCCATACACCATTCCATCCCATACACCATTCCATCCCATACACCATTCCATCCCATACACCATTCCATCCCATACACCATTCCATCCCATACACCATTCCATCCCATACACCATTCCATCCCATACACCATTCCATCCCATACACCATTCCATCCCATACACCATTCCATCCCATACACCATTCCATCCCATACACCATTCCATCCCATACACCATTCCATCCCATACACCATTCCATCCCATACACCATTCCATCCCATACACCATTCCATCCCATACACCATTCCATCCCATACACCATTCCATCCCATACACCATTCCATCCCATACACCATTCCATCCCATACACCATTCCATCCCATACACCATTCCATCCCATACACCATTCCATCCCATACACCATTCCATCCCATACACCATTCCATCCCATACACCATTCCATCCCATACACCATTCCATCCCATACACCATTCCATCCCATACACCATTCCATCCCATACACCATTCCATCCCATACACCATTCCATCCCATACACCATTCCATCCCATACACCATTCCATCCCATACACCATTCCATCCCATACACCATTCCATCCCATACACCATTCCATCCCATACACCATTCCATCCCATACACCATTCCATCCCATACACCATTCCATCCCATACACCATTCCATCCCATACACCATTCCATCCCATACACCATTCCATCCCATACACCATTCCATCCCATACACCATTCCATCCCATACACCATTCCATCCCATACACCATTCCATCCCATACACCATTCCATCCCATACACCATTCCATCCCATACACCATTCCATCCCATACACCATTCCATCCCATACACCATTCCATCCCATACACCATTCCATCCCATACACCATTCCATCCCATACACCATTCCATCCCATACACCATTCCATCCCATACACCATTCCATCCCATACACCATTCCATCCCATACACCATTCCATCCCATACACCATTCCATCCCATACACCATTCCATCCCATACACCATTCCATCCCATACACCATTCCATCCCATACACCATTCCATCCCATACACCATTCCATCCCATACACCATTCCATCCCATACACCATTCCATCCCATACACCATTCCATCCCATACACCATTCCATCCCATACACCATTCCATCCCATACACCATTCCATCCCATACACCATTCCATCCCATACACCATTCCATCCCATACACCATTCCATCCCATACACCATTCCATCCATACACCATTCCATCCCATACACCATTCCATCCCATACACCATTCCATCCCATACACCATTCCATCCCATACACCATTCCATCCCATACACCATTCCATCCCATACACCATTCCATCCCATACACCATTCCATCCCATACACCATTCCATCCCATACACCATTCCATCCCATACACCATTCCATCCCATACACCATTCCATCCCATACACCATTCCATCCCATACACCATTCCATCCCATACACCATTCCATCCCATACACCATTCCATCCCATACACCATTCCATCCCATACACCATTCCATCCCATACACCATTCCATCCCATACACCATTCCATCCCATACACCATTCCATCCCATACACCATTCCATCCCATACACCACCATTCCATCCCATACACCATTCCATCCCATACACCATTCCATCCCATACACCATTCCATCCCATACACCATTCCATCCCATACACCATTCCATCCCATACACCATTCCATCCCATACACCATTCCATCCCATACACCATTCCATCCCATACACCATTCCATCCCATACACCATTCCATCCCATACACCATTCCATCCCATACACCATTCCATCCCATACACCATTCCATCCCATACACCATTCCATCCCATACACCATTCCATCCCATACACCATTCCATCCCATACACCATTCCATCCCATACACCATTCCATCCCATACACCATTCCATCCCATACACCATTCCATCCCATACACCATTCCATCCCATACACCATTCCATCCCATACACCATTCCATCCCATACACCATTCCATCCCATACACCATTCCATCCCATACACCATTCCATCCCATACACCATTCCATCCCATACACCATTCCATCCCATACACCATTCCATCCCATACACCATTCCATCCCATACACCATTCCATCCCATACACCATTCCATCCCATACACCATTCCATCCCATACACCATTCCATCCCATACACCATTCCATCCCATACACCATTCCATCCCATACACCATTCCATCCCATACACCATTCCATCCCATACACCATTCCATCCCATACACCATTCCATCCCATACACCATTCCATCCCATACACCATTCCATCCCATACACCATTCCATCCCATACACCATTCCATCCCATACACCATTCCATCCCATACACCATTCCATCCCATACACCATTCCATCCCATACACCATTCCATCCCATACACCATTCCATCCCATACACCATTCCATCCCATACACCATTCCATCCCATACACCATTCCATCCCATACACCATTCCATCCCATACACCATTCCATCCCATACACCATTCCATCCCATACACCATTCCATCCCATACACCATTCCATCCCATACACCATTCCATCCCATACACCATTCCATCCCATACACCATTCCATCCCATACACCATTCCATCCCATACACCATTCCATCCCATACACCATTCCATCCCATACACCATTCCATCCCATACACCATTCCATCCCATACACCATTCCATCCCATACACCATTCCATCCCATACACCATTCCATCCCATACACCATTCCATCCCATACACCAATTCCATCCCATACACCATTCCATCCCATACACCATTCCATCCCATACACCATTCCATCCCATACACCATTCCATCCCATACACCATTCCATCCCATACACCATTCCATCCCATACACCATTCCATCCCATACACCATTCCATCCCATACACCATTCCATCCCATACACCATTCCATCCCATACACCATTCCATCCCATACACCATTCCATCCATACACCATTCCATCCCATACACCATTCCATCCCATACACCATTCCATCCCATACACCATTCCATCCCATACACCATTCCATCCCATACACCATTCCATCCCATACACCATTTTCCATCCCATACACCATTCCA